TGCTACTCAACCCCCTCAAAGGCAAAACTTTTCCTGTGATTCATCATTTCTTGGTATCTTACAGCTACTGAACCAATCCCTTCCCTTCTTCCAGTGCTGTTTTTCCACTGAAGTTAAGCTCATTATGATTTCCTCTAACCGAGCCTTTTGTGGTCCATCTTTTCTCTCAGGTCTCTCCCTGCTTTTTTCTGTCCGCTGCTTTGCAAGGGCCTCTTTTGTGCCTCTAGCTGGACACAGCTCCTTGCTCCAACCCCTGCTCCTCACAAAAGAGTAACATGCTTCCCGTGCTGCCTCAGCAACACAGCCAGCTCCCAGAGCCAGGCAGCTGTGGCCAAGGTCAGCCCTCTGCACCCGCAGGAAGTACTTCGATGTACTTAACTTACTTACATGCTAATTTATCTAGTAATAATTTGCAAAATATTACTAGATATTTTCGAGGCTTGAAAGATCTACCAGATGCATGATTCAGCAACATTAAACCAGTTGTGAGAGACAAATGATGTCTACCAGCAGGATCAAAGAAAAGTATCTGTATTATAGAGCAGCTGCTAAAAAGGATCCCTGTATTTTTGTGAGATTGCTGGGAAAATACCAGAGCTTGTGTAGGTAGAAACACCAAAGACCACCTAAATGAAGTAAAAACGAACCATTTCAGCTTTAATATAAGTTTCTTATCAAACAAAATAAACCCAGAACACTCATCATTGCCCAACTACTTCTTGTTATAATTAAAACCTTAAACACATAAAGCCTCCAGCAACTCAGTCTTCTATACACATAAAATATGCTCAATAAAGAAGCCTTTCCACCCTTGCTTTGGCTGGAAATTGTCCTCCTCATTTATTGACACACCTTTTTTCAAAATGACTCTGATTCCCTTTCACTGAAGTCACATCATGAGAGCTAAGGGGCAACATGAGTTCATGGAAGGAAGATGGGGAAAAAGGTCACTAGAATCATTAGGCATGCAGGACTTTTCCACTTAAGATGGGAATGCAAATCACAAGATTTTAATAGCAGATTTTTAGGACATAAACAGTCTTTCTTTTAAAGCTAAAGGACAGATAAATATAAAGCCACATGCTGAAATTTTTCAGGTGTAATCCCACATCCAGGATAAACCTGTAATCCAGAATTATTATTCTAAAACTAGAAAATTCTAAAATAGAAAGAGCTCTTGAAACAAGCCCGAGATTCTTGCCTTAATGACCAGCCTAGCACGAGCACCTGGGGGCCAGAGACCAGCTCCTGGTGTCCCCTGAGTCCTCTGCAACCCCTTCCCCATAGAGGCCCTACTGCCCAGGGCCCTCCCTCCCACTCCAAATGCACACAGCCCACAGTCAACACCACAGCCCCCTGGCAACACAGACTCTGCAGGAATGCTTCTAGACCAAACACCCAGAAAAAACAGTAAGTAAAATAAAAAAAAAAAGCATCAGCAAAGCAAAGCTCACCAAGCTACACAACAGCATTCTCCTTTCAAGAGTCAGGTAATTAGGAAGAGAGGCCTAATCCTGCATCTGGGTTTTACTTTCCTATCTCTTCTTTATCTGTTTTCATATTTTAATACAAATAACACCTACTTACTTCCTGCGCAGACCCACGTTGCAAAAGTTCTGTAGGCTCTGGGCCTCTCAGTAACGTGCTCTTGGACGAGTCAGACTCATTACCCCCTGGATGAACATGCCTTTCTCAGCCTGCTTTAAAAATCCCCATTGCAACTTCATCAGCGGTGCACAGAATCCCAGAATCACAGACTGTTTGGGGTTGGAAGGGACCTTAAACACCGCCCAGTTCCGCCCCCTTCCACTAGACCAGGTTGTGCCAAGCCCCATCCAACCTGGCCTTGAACACTTCCTAGGATGGGGTAGCCACAACTACTCTGTGTATCTTGGTCAAGACTGTAACAGCATTGCCATAAGGGTCCAAAACACCCATGGGGACACCCGACAGTCTTGCCATTTCACTTTAAGTTTCATTTTATAAGCTCCACACAGGATAGGCCTGAGGGTTTCCTTCTGTAGAATTCTTGAATACAAAACAAAGCTGAATCATTGTCAAACGACTTTTTTTAAAAGAGAAAAAACATTTTCACAGAGATCTGATGCTCTACAGAAATCCACGGCTCAAATTGTCAAAATCCTCCCAGTCACGGTAAATGAACCATTCATTCATCAGGGGAGGTTTGGATTGGATATTGTGAGAGATTTCTTTCCTGAAGGAGTGGTCAGGCACTGGCATAGGCTGCCCATCAGTCACCATCCCTGGAAATGTTCAAGAGATGTGTGGATGAGGCACCTGGGAACATGGGTTAGTGGTGAACACAGCAGTGCTGGGTTAACGGTTGGACTTTTCCATCCTAAATGATTCTATGATTCTTACCACACACCCATGTTCAGTTTGAACATTCTGGACTGGCCCCAGTGCCACTGCTGACTATTCTGACCATCTGACTGGTAGTGATTGGGGGAATCACCCAAATTTTCACAGCAGCACAATCCTAAGTGCATTTGTACTTAAGCTTAGTAAGCTTCTATACACTAAGAGAAGACTATGTTTTGGGAAAGGCTTTATCACCTGAAATACTGTAACCAGTAAAACATCCCAATTTCCCTCAAAAAGGTGCAAACTGTGCAAGCTGACTTGTCTGGGATGGCTCTCACTCAGATAACAGCTATGAAAGCCAGTGCTACAGAGCTCTCTTCTAACAGACAATACCGTCTTCAGAGGCAGCCTAATGTCAATAGAAAAAGACCAGCTACTTCACTAGGAACTGCCCTTACCTAGAAAAACCGAGTTACTATTGTTACCATTATGCTATGCAACATAATGACAGTGCCATGATCCAATTCCAGTTGAAGGGAAAAGTAGGGAACATAACCTTTAAAATCATAAGAAGGAATGTCATATTTTTTCTCCTTTTCGAGTAAAACTGGGGGAGACCAGAGAAAGGAGACAATAAGAAATCAGCTTAACTTGCAAGGAAGGAAACAGGAGTATGTGTCACACTACCAGGAGTGAAAACACCAGGATGATTTATATAGGACAAACATGGAGCAATCTTTAACAGCTTCTCAGAAGCTACTTAGAAAACTTGCTTTGAGAATGATCTGGGCTTCCTGTACTTTGCCACAATGGCAAAGCTGAGGCTGGCTGGTTACACTGCCTCTGCAACTCCAGTTACACAATGCCAGGTACTGTTACCTCCACACCTAGTGGGAGCTTTTCCTATGCCTGTCATTCTGATCCATAAAAAACAATACTACTGTGGACTTTTATGAAGAAGGTTGGGATTTTCTTCTTGTGGATGGCTCTGTCTGTGATTTGGGCCATGCTGTATGAAAATCCAAGTACAAACAGGAAGACTGTTTTTTTCTAACAGCTTAAATCTAAACAAGCAAGGGGTTAGAGAACAGGGAGCTTTAGTAGTCACACAGCTACATATTAGGTTACTGCTTCCTTTCCTGCCTCACCTTTGATGTATATTCCTCTACCACAGGGAGGGATATCCAACCCACCTATGAAACTACATGAAATGCCACCTCCAAGTCAAGTTTGGAGGAAAAAGAAAAGAAACCCAAACCACACTACTATCTGTCTTCTAAATGAAGACAGTTGTCTAGCATTTGGATAGCAACAGTAGGAAAAATGGAGACTCAATCATGAGGCAGCAGCTTTGCTCGTCTTACTGAACAGAAATCCTGCGATAAAGCAACACAGCACATATCAGTGTGCAGATTTTTCTCTGTCATTACACAGCACCATAGGAAAATTCCTTCAAACTCCTTGGGACTGAATGTCACTAATCTTCACTTCCCAGACACAGAGTTAAAAATCTGGATTCAAATACTAAACTTAGAACTGTGAATTCAAGGCCCTTGGCTCACCACTTACGAGTGAACTGCTGTCTCTATTACCAACATTTCCAGCATGATCTGCTCTCTTGCTTCTCTTTTAGTGGAAAGACCTATTCGTGCCAATTGGGAATCCTCCCCTACTGCCTGGGGAAGGCCAGCATAGGAAGCATTACTTATCATGTGTCACGTTGCTCCAGCTATAGCTCAAGAATCATCAACACCCCGTGCTTAACCCTCTTCGGCGCTGCTGGATCATCCTGGTCTATAAATAACCCCCAATAAGGGCTGCAGTCCTATTGAGCAGGTCAGCAGAGGCAGAATTTCCCCTCTATCATGCACAGAGGCGGCTGGCGCTACCTGCAGTGCCACAGGTGAGGCCAAAACCCTCCCGCAGCGCGGCCCATGGCGCAGCCTCAGCTTTCGGGCCCACGGGCGGTGGGAAAGGAGACTACAGCACTCTGAGAGCCCACAGCAGTCCGGCACAGGGCCGCCAGCGGCCGAAGGAGAGGGGAAGGCGACCACCTCCCCAGCCGCGTCCCCTCAGTGGCGAGGCGGGCCCACCCACCACAGGGAAGGGAAGCGGGACATGACTCATGGCTTTTGTCGGCTCCTGGCTGGCGCCGGAGCGCTCCCCGCCGCCGAGGCGGCGCTCACAGCGGAGCGGGACCTCGGGTGGCGGAGCGGGTCCCCGGGGCGGCCCCCGCGCCCCGGCCCGGCCCGTTGCGGTGCAGGGGGCGCCGGCGGCACGTGGCCCGCGGTGCGCCAATGGGAGCGGCCGCGACCATAGAGCGGGGCCGGGCGCCCGCCAGACATCCCGCCCGCAGCCCGTCTCGCTGGTGCCGCCATCTTGCTGCAGGCGGCGGAACGCGTCCGGCCGCAGCGCCGGGCCCGCGCCCTCCTCCCGCTTACCTGAGGCGCTCCCGCCCCCGCCCTCCCGCGCGGCCGGCGCCGGGCCCGGCGTTACCTCTGGTCGGCCCGCAGCGAAGCCTATGCTGGGTACAAGGCCGAGGGCCCGGCCGCCATCTTGGTGCAGCAGAGGGATGTGCGTGACCTACAACATGCGGGCGGCCCCGCCCCGTCCCCGCGGGTTGCTATGGCGACGGGGCCTGCGCGTGCGCGCCGGGCCCTGCTCCGCCCCGGGGGCGGGGCCTGCCGGGCGGGGCGGCACCGCCTCCTCGCCCTGACGGTGCGCGCGCGGGAGCGGAGCTTGCGGACCGTGGCGGAGGGAGGCGCGAGGTGAGGGGCGGCGGGCGCTGAGGGGCGGCGGGCGCTGAGGGGCGGCGGGCGCTGCCCTGCTCTGCCTCGCCCTGGAGGAGCTCGGGTGAGGGGCGGCGGGCGCTGAGGGGCGGTGGGCAGTGGGCGCTGCCCTGCCCTGCCTTGCCTCCCCTCGCCTTGGAAGAGCTCGGGTGAGGGGCGCCGGGCGCTGAGGGGCGCCGGGCGCTGCCCTACCTCGCCTCTCGGCAGCTCGGGGTCCCTCTGCGCGGCTGTAACGAGCCGGGGCTGAGACGAGGGGGCCGGGAGGGGCGCTGGGGAAGAGTTTATCCTTTACAGCCGCGCAGACGGACCCCCCGAGCTGGGGTGTTCGGCCGAGGTCGGGCGGTGCTGGTGAGGAGGGAGCGGGCCGGAGGGGCCGCGGGCGGTGCCGGGGAGGTGAGGCCAGCGCGGGGCCTGGTGGTCGTGTGGGCCGCCGTGGGACCCCCGAGCGGGGGCCCTCCCCACAGCGGGCGAGGCGGCCGCTTCTGAACACGCTCTGGTGGAAAACTCCAGCAGCGCTGTTGAACCCGGGGGGTGAGGAACGTCACCGACCAGCTCCTGAGGAAAATCTGGACTCCTCCAAGGCTGAGTCCTGCCTGTGTGGGAGTGCTCAGCCCCGAGGGGAACGCTGCGGGAAAGATCATACGTGAAATATTTCTGTGCTTGGTCCATATGTTAAAACATAATGGAGCTGTAGCCATCTGCATAACTCTGCTTCGTTTCTTAGTAGCTGTGAGAAACTTTCCTCCTCTCTTCGCCTGCTTCTGAGAAATAGTTGGGTGACAGATAAGTCTCACAAATGAAAAGAATGTTCTTATGTGTTCCAGCAGGATCTAGTTTTGTTTGGCATTGAAAATCGCTCGTGGAGGATGGTTAAGCAGGAATCAATGACATCAGCTGTCAGGAAACACTCTTGGAAGGAAGAGTTGCTATCAGAGCAATCTTGCATGATGATAAAGGGCTCACGGATAACCTCTTAAGTAGTTGAATAATTCATCGGTCGCAGACCAGTATACATGTTGCAGATACTGGAATTTATTTTTAGTGTGATATTTCACTTGAGAAACATGTTATCCAGTTTTTATTTTATGTGAGTAACCAGGGTGCCGGATTGTTATCACTTAAGTTCAGCTTCATGAAAAAGGACACCAAATGGCTTCAATGTTCAACATCTGTACTCTGTCCCTCCCGTTAGGAATTCTTTCTCAGAAACCACCTCTTCCTTATTGAAATGATTGCTGGGATGGAGGGGGGCAGGAAGTAACTCGGTAACTCTTAACCAGTGAAGTAGTCACTCTGAGCTAAAAAGCTGCATCTTTGCAAACCTAAATGAGGTTGCAATTTGTGTACGTATACAGATATACAGTAGCTTTGAGAAGCAGATCCTAGAAATCATCCCCAATTTGAAACAACTTTACCTTCTGCCTGGCACAAAAAGTAGGGCTCCCTTGGTCTGACGCTGGGCAGTTTGTTTTGACTCAAGATGGCTCTTTGCTGGGAGGAACAGACTGAAGGGTGCTGCATGCTGAAGCAGTTTGGTGTCATTTCACATGATGCTGAACTTGCTGACAAAAATCCGCTTGGAAGATGGAAAGAATCAGGCAGTGATAGTTTCAAATCTGTAGAATAAAAGTGGTAATGAGCTAGCTAGAGAAAAGGTGACTATGGGCTTAGGGAGTGGGAACAGATACTTTTTGATTAGGGGTAGGGGAGGGTCTAGAAAGGGGACTTGTGGTCTCCTCACTTACAGATACCAGCATATGCTGACATTTTTATGTTGTCACAGTAAAAACCTTGATCTCTTCAACTCATGCAAGTCAGTGTGATAGGACTGTGGACGAGTCTCTGTCTGTCAAGAGACTTTTACGTAGAGGTGTTGGATGAGAAATTTTTAAAAAAACCTTTTAGGAAAAATATTTTTTGCGCCTATTTTGTATTTTACATGCAGCTGCACATGAAAATTTTATATTGGCAACAGAAGGTAAAATGACTGAGTTTGCAAGCATCCAGATGAAAGAGGAGGAGGAAAAGATTCATGTTGAAACTGTTGGCTCTTTACAGAACGCTCAAGCCTGAACGGAAATGGTGAGGGGAAGGAGGCTTGAGAAAAAAAAAAAAATACATGAGTTTGGGGGTTTTTTAGCTTTGAAAAAAACTGTTTCCTGTACAGAGCAAGATGACCTTGAGCAGGGTGTTTGGTTTGGTTCCGGAAACGCTGTGAACCTTCCAGGCTTCAGAATGGTTTGTCGCACATCTGGTGCCTTCAGCCCCCCACGTTCGTGTTGCTCGCATTTATTGTCTGGCCACGTTCGTAGGAACAATGGTAGCTGAAAATTCTGCCCCTCGTTAGTACAGAAGAGTCAAATGCTTGCACCCTGTGAAGGAATTGACACTGTTTCGGAATCTGGACATCCAGTCAGGAATGCTGCTCTTTTAATTACAACAGTGGATATTACGCTGATTTGTTGCCTTTTTTTTTTCTTGTACAATTTTTAATAAACTGAAAAAACTTTGTTTTTCCAGATTTGTTCCCGTCCTTTCCTAAAAATGTCCAAGGTAAGAATAACATTTCTGTCTTCCAATGTAACAATGTGAAACAGATAATTTGTTTTTAAATATTAATCTTCATGGATAAAATGTGCAACTTACGTTGTGTTTGATGTATGCTTTACTAACAGTCCATAAGAGAGAATTCACATTTAGAAGACATGATATTGAAATATTGAGTGATGTAAAGCATACATTGAATTAGTCTCCTGCAAGTATAAACCTCTGCAGTTAACTAATACTCTTGGAAGGATTTAATTTTGGTCATGGAGTTGTGTATAAGCTCCCTGGTGCATCTTCATTGAAACTTCCATTGTGCTACTTTGTTTTGAGCAGGAATCATTTCAGGAAATTATGTTCTTAGATCTAATTTCTTCATTTACTAATAGAACCAAGTGATTTTTCAGTAAAATCCTTCATTAAAAGGCTTGGTGGTAACCTACAATATTATTGGCATGCTGGGATTCACCTAATTCTTGGCCCCCAGGATTTGGTATGATGTGTAAAACATCTCTGTTGGCTTATTGGAGTGAAATGAATGATAAAAGGTGCTTGAGTAATGTGTTTGAAGAGGAAAACTAAGAGACCTAAAGATTTCTCTGCCATGTTTGTAGTAGTGGGCATTCCAAACCCTACTGTGTAAATTCCCCTTCCCCCCACTTGGAGAGCTCTCTGAAGAGCACTTGCAGCAGAAAACTGTCACTTCATGAGCTGCTCAGGGTTTTCCTTTTGAACGTGCTAGAAGTGGATTAGAAATGGTCATCTTTTGATTCAAGTCCATACAAATTGGACTCAAGCTTTTTTATTTTAACTGTGTGTGAAGACACAGTTTGAAGTGTGGAATCAGTGACTGCACTTCGTACTTTGTCACACTTTGATAAATTATTGTTTGGGATTTTGTTTCCTTTCTACTTAAGGCGATCTTGGCTGGAGAGCTGAATAAATGAAATTTTTTTTTATGCTGTAGGTCATTGTTGTTTTCTGTACTTCTAAGTGAAACTGTTGAATAGTAGGAACCTCTGAGTGGTTTCCCCTCCATATGTCAGGCAGCTTCAAACCCTTGGAAATAAACAAGGAAGGCAGTTATACAAATAAATATGTCTTATTATTGTCTTCTTTTATTTCATTTTTAGCAACAGCCTGCTCAGTTTACCAATCCAGAAACTCCTGGCTATGTTGGATTTGCAAACCTTCCCAATCAGGTTCACCGAAAGTCTGTGAAAAAGGGGTTTGAATTTACTCTTATGGTGGTTGGTAAGGAAACATTTTATAGTCTTTCTCAAAATTGCTCACGGGGAATTTGAAGTTAAAATGAATTTTACTTCCACTATTGTAAGACTCCAGCTTGCACCAGGAACTCTCCTGTACTTTCTTTTATAATTCTTTAATTTTATTTTTTATAGTTTATTAATTCCTGCAGCAGTTGTTTTCCACACTACAAACTATGTTTGAATACATTAATAAGTTTGTGGGCAAAGAAATTCTGTTATGCACTCCAGTAATTATTTCTTCCTTCTTTTTCTCCTGTCTTACAATTTTCAAGCATTCCATTTAAAACGTAGTTTTAAACTGGTTTTGCATTTGAATGCAGTCTCTATTCATTTCCACGTTTTTATTAAGAGACTAGTATTAAGGAGAACATTCTATTTAAAATGTTGTTTATGTTTCTGTAGTTCAAAACAATCTGAACTCTGATCTTTCCACCCCTTCTAAATACTCTTGTAAAAGAAAGACTGAGAGTCGGTTTTGATGTGAGCTGTTACTTTTTATACGGATCGTGATTTTCTGTTAGCAGTTTTAATTTACAGTGCAATTCTGTTTGATAATTAAGAGTCTGTGTTGGTATCTGAAATGGAAAGTGTCTGCAGAAATATCTTGGTCCTTTGAGAAGTCGGTTGCTGTTCTTCAAAGTTCTGTGGACTCCCAAATCAGACTTGGATGTCTTCTCTGTCTCTCCTGTTGGGCGCTGTAACTTCTGAGTTTTGGTGTTTGAACTCTGCCATTCTCGCTTTTAAATAGGCTTTTGCAAAAAGTACCCTAATAGAATTAGGCTCTTTATTGCCTGGCACTACAAGAAGTAAATCCCATTTGTGTGTTAGACTTGTCCAAGAGAGATCACAGTGGGAATGAGCAGGAGGGGTGAGATAGTACAGGGTAGGAGGTGTTTAAGTTCTTAATTGCTTTGTATTCCAGTAGTTACAGGGAGAGTCTGTATTCTCAAACCTTTCATTAGTTTTGCCAAATGACTGCCCTAGCACTGCTTTTATCCTGTCTTTTGTACTTTGTTGTTGGACAGACTTGGCCCTTATCTTTGGCTTCCTAGAATTTTGTCATAGTTGTTCACTGTATCTTTCCCTGGATTAGCTTTGGATGATACCATAAAGGATGTCTTATAAAATCTAAGGGTAAAGCCAAACTATAAGCAGCTGTTTCAAATTATGGTATCTACTGTAACTCTTCAGAATTTACTGCTCAGTGAGCCTAGAAACCTGAAAGTTGTGAGAAAGAAAAAATGTGCTTTCTCTGCTGCAGCTAAACTTAATTTCCAGATTTCTTTGAGACTAATTGCGCACAGTGCCATGTAAAAGGGTCCTGGCAGAAAACAATGTAAAATTATATAGACCAACAGTTGTTTCTAGCCCCTTGTAAAATAGAAATAGAGGGGAAATAACATCGTGTCAGAGTATCAGAAAGGCAATTAATCCACCCATGTCAGAGTAAAATGGAACCTTACAGTCGTTGCCTGCCAAAATTTTGAGGGATAAATGAAAACTACAAAAACAGAACTTGGAAAAAAAGTCATTTCATTGAAAATTTGGAGCGGTATTTTAAGATACACTAGCAGAGGGAGGCAGCTGATGTAAGATAAACTGTGCTTTAAATTGTTGATTATTTCAGCAGTTTGGAATGTGAATTCTTCCCCTTCAAATATGCACAGGGTTTAAGTATGTTCTCTTGTGGGATGTGTCACAGTGAACTATCACTCTTCATTGAGTTGCCATCCTTCTTCATTTCTGAGCATGACAATACTTCTTTAAAAGCTGTCTGCACCGACAGAGTCCTGATCAATGATTTTTCTTTTTCGCACTTTTTTTTCCTGCTTTTTACTGTGGTGTCTGAAAATACGAGCTGGATTTGGCTGCTTGGCTGTGTTGCTCCCAAAGAAATCCAAATCACTTGTATTTATTAACAGTTTTGTGTTCATTCCCATTGTTAAGCTATGACTTCATCTAAATAGTTATTTCACTTGAGAGTCACTAAACTACTGTAGCCAGTATAATCCTTGACAGCAACTATGAAAACTGATTTGGTTAATGTATAATATTTACCCAAACTGAAAGTATGGTATGTGGCACTGGATGAAATCATACTTTTTTTTTGGTTTTGCTGAAATGATTCCATGTGACTGTTGAGTTCCTCTGGGTGCATGTCTCCACTGGTGAAGGCTGCACTGGTACAGTCTGATTTCCAGAGCTGCATTCTGTGAGGCATTAAAAACTGGCACCTCCTACTCCAATATTTGCTTAAAAACGATTTCCATCTTTTTTTTTTTTTTCTTTTGTTCAGTTATTTTAGTCAGACTCCTATTGCAGAACAGTCTGCCTTACTTAGAGATTACGTGGCCCACCATTTTTAACATCTAATTTTCCTAATTAATTCTATCGACACCTGAAATAAAGCTAAAATTCTAGAAAAGGATCCTTTCAGTGAATTCAGGGACCGAGCACTTCAAGAGGCTGCTCTTTTTTATGCTGTGAACATTTGTTCTGATTAAGATCTTGATCTTGAACTAATTAGTTGGCCTTTGAACTTTTTCCTCGTGGCTTAGTCAGTAGCCCTAGAACCAAAATCTATTTGTGGTCCAATATGGTAATGCCCAAATTCATCAGTGTGAAAAGAATGCTCAGTGATCGTGGCATATTTCTCTTTCCTTGGGTTCTTGTTTGCCATATTAGCATAAAAAGCAGAAATAAATCCTCATTTATGATGTCTGGGTCTACAGACAATGCCTTTTTCATTGTTTAAATTGATGATATAGCCTAGGCAAGATCTAGTTTCTCACTGGGTATGATCTTTCACGTTCTGGAGTGATAAGAGAAAACCATGCCTTAAAAAATCAGGAGATATGAAATGGGAAATATTAAGTTTAAGTTGATCAGATCTCCACTTGACTAGCAGACTTAATTACAAATCATCAGTGAAAGCTCAGGGAAAGTGCATTATAAAGCAGAGATGTAAAAATTGTTATTCAACCTTTTTGTGCAAACTTCTCCAGTGCAAAATTGTAAATTGTAAAATTTTAATTTGAAAGAAACATGAAAAAAATGTATAGTCAGATAATACTGTCTGGATACAGTCGAAATTATCTATGTAAATATTTTGAATTTATCTTTGTATTGAACTGCAGGTGAATCTGGATTGGGAAAATCTACATTAATAAACAGCCTCTTCTTGACAGATCTCTACCCAGAAAGGATAATCCCAGGAGCTGCTGGTAAACACACCTTCCTTCTAGTTTCTCTGTGCTTGATGATTTTTGGAGTTGAATGCTTTAATCTTGGGAATTTGATAACAATCAGCAGTGATTCCTAGCTGTAACAGTTTCTAATGTATTTCCTGAACCTTGAACTGTGTCACAGAATTGGTTTCCTCTGCACCCAATGTCTGTGGGATATTTATTATTTAGTCCTTGGGTGTATTCTATTAGCACCTAGAAAGTTGATCCCTTCTTTTGCTTAAAGAAAGTCACTGTGTCACAGAAAGATAAACAGTCAGAAGCTTTATTTAGTTTTTAATCAATTGCAATTTTAAACATATGAATTGTTTATACCTGCTTGGAACTTGCATCCTAATTTCTTTGCTTTGGGTTAGTATTTAGTGAATGTGAACTTCACCTCCTGTTCTTCTTCTTCTTGTCCTTTTTTTATACTGTTAACCAAGGCATACAATTATCCAACAAAAGAGAATATTGTAAGAAAATAGAGGAAGATGCTGTTTTTTCCCCCTTTGGTAGTTGTTGAATTACTTCCTTTTTAATAGTTTAGCTGATGATTACTAGCTGATGATTACTTATCACATTCAGCCTTAGGAAAAAAAATCCATTACATATAATTTCACGTTGTTCTCCAATTACCTACAATTTTGTCTCAGTCCCCTTTGCCTTAGTTTCTCCAGTATATTAAAGAAAAGTGTGAAGTCTCATACTTAACAACATCTGAAGAATTTATGTATTGAGTCTTGCTGTCACCAGGGCCTTGGAATGTAATCCATGGAATAATATTTATGTGGCTGTATCTGCCAGTTAGCCTTTGGAGCTTGTCTCAAAATGCCGTGGCCTCCCAAACCCGGTTCTGAACCGTGCCGTTTGTTGTCTCTCAGATAAGATCGAACGCACCGTGCAGATCGAGGCCTCGACGGTTGAAATCGAAGAGAGAGGCGTGAAACTGCGACTGACGGTGGTGGATACCCCGGGATACGGGGATGCCATCAACTGCCGAGACTGGTGTGTGCACAGGGAATTCATTTTGCTCTGTTTGTGCAGGCAGACATACATTTCATATATGTCCCTGAAGCGCTGAATATGAGGTGTGATTTTTTTTTTTTTTTTTTGTGGTTTTTAGAAAACCGTGCTTTCGAATTTTGAGGAAGCTCGACTTCAGTGGTATGGATTAATTCAAGTACGTGTAAAAACAAAGCTTGAAATAAATTTTGTGACACACACGTTTGTTTTTTTTTTTTCCCGGTCGACTTTCTTAAGCTTGAAAGAGCTTTAAGTGAAAAGTGACCTTGACTTAACCTGTAGTCACAAAGTAATGGGACACAAGAATTTCAACAGTGCTCTGAGAAAGCAAATCATCTAGTCTTTACTGTGAACAAAAATCCACCTTTAGATCTTGCCCACGTTCACCTGAGCATTCTCAGATTCTGTGCTTCATTTTTAAGTGCTTTTCATCATCTTTGGTTTTGATTGTTTGCTTTGAAGGTTTTTTTTTTTTTACAAATTTACATTGTAGTAAATGCTGAGAAATAATCTTGAGATGACTGGCAATCAGTTTCCAAAGGTAATCCCTTTCCCTACATCTCTCAGGCCTCTGAACCTCAAGGTAGGAACTGTGTAATCTCAGGCCCTGTAGTAACAGAACAGGGGGCAACAGTTTGAACCTGAAAGAAGAGGGAAGAAATGTTTCACAGTGGTGATGTTGAGACACTGGCACAGGTTGCCCAGAGAAGCTGTGGCTGCCCCCTCCCTGGAAGTGTTCATTTTGGAAAGAGCTTGGAGCACCCCAGACTAGTGGAAGGTGTCCCTGTTTGAAACTGGATGATCTTTAAAGGTCCCTTCCAACTCAAACCGTTCTATGATTTTAAATCAATTTGGGACAAGAACCTTAAATTATCTGGAACGTGTGTGATCGATGCTAATCAAAATATAAATACTAACCCAAGAGAATTTTTTTGCAGAACTGAAGTTGTGTTACATATATGTATATTTTATCTTACAATATATATTAAAAAAGTACACATAGTATCTTGTTATTCTAGAATTCAACTAAAAGTTTTAAGATATGTGTGCTTCTCCTTTTCCAGTCCTACAGAATCAATAAATGAATTTTTTTTCCATCAGAAGGTTGGCTCATCAGCAGGATGTCTTGTTGTTATGATATTACCTTTGAAACAGCTCCGCAGTGATTGACCATTTGGTGATTTCTCAAATCCATATTTATTTTGCAGTTTTAAGACCATAATCGCTTACATTGACGAGCAGTTTGAGCGGTACCTGCACGATGAGAGTGGTTTGAACAGGAGGCACATCATAGATAACCGGGTTCATTGCTGCTTCTATTTCATTTCACCATTTGGTCATGGGTAGGTGTTTGTCATTTTTTTTTTTTACATTACTTTATTTCAGGGACTTTGTTCGTGCCTGTTGACTTAGATTTTCAGAATCAGGTTGCCATCACTTAAGGAAGTGCTATAACTGCTGGCATTAGTTGAATGTGTTCTTTCTCTCTGTGTAGAGAGAGATATTTATTTGGTGTGAACGTAAATTGTAATTTAGAGTAAAAATAAATAAAACTTTTTTCCGTATTTTGATTTTAGCCTTAAGCCTCTGGATGTTGAGTTTATGAAGGCCATACACAACAAAGTAAATATTGTACCAGTGATTGCAAAAGCTGATACTCTTTCTCTGAAAGAGCGAGAGAGACTAAAGAAAAGGGTGAGTGTTTTTCTGGCTTGCAGAAATGTGTTGTCCTTTGATTGTAGCAGTATGGTGACTGAAGAGAGGGTCACTCATTAAACTTACTCTGCCCTAGCTGTGTAAAATATAATCTCCTGCACAGTGTAACATCATTTAATACGTAGTTTGATATCTTGTAAATTATTTTATTATGTATTTAACTGAGAAATTGTCCTTAGAATGTTGCTTGCAAAATGGCAGATTGGCTACATTTACAATTACATTATGACTGCATTTTGAAACTCTGGAAAAATACTTAGATACATTTGCTGATGGTAATTGTTCTCTTACCTGTTTAATCAGTCCCAAAGCAGAGACTGCATCTAGAATATGTGTGTGTGTGTATATATATATATATATATATATGTATATATATATATATGTATATTTTTTTTAATTATTTTTTTTACCCAGTCAGAATTCTGATGGTTGAAAAATGAGATTTTCTGAGATGTTTCTGATTTTGGGGTTGTTTTTCTTCCCCTGTGTCACTCTTCTTCTAAAACATTCCAGTTCTTTCTTCCAGAGGCAAGAGCTCTTAACACATTCAGTCTTGCAGGACTTGATGCCATATTTGCTGGAGGGAGAGCAGGAGAGCAAAGGCTGGAGGAGTCAACAAACCATCATGAGTTAATAAGAGATATGAAGTTTAGAAAGGAGGGTTAGAATTAACTTTCCAAAAGGCATGCTTGATCCAGTCTTAGCTCTTATATTTAAAACTTTATCTGTGATTTTTTTTTCAGTTATTCTGAAAATCCTTATAGCTATCTTACCTGATTTGGAATAAAAAGGCATAGACTTTACTAGAAATACTTATTGTGCTAGAATTCTGCAGAAATAAAGATTGTTTTATTGTTTTTTAAAGAGCAAAATTTGGGTTTATGGCAAATGGATTCCAGCTGCAGATGCCATTCTTGGCAGTCATGAAGAGAGAAAAAAGTATTTGTTGTGTCTGTAGCTCAGCTAGCTTTTTAAACACTCCCACCTCTACCACCCAAGTAGTAATTCAGAGGTAAGAGCAAGGAGGTTTAGGCTGTGGCTTCTGAGTCAGTGCTTTTATTATTACAAAAAAAAGAAAAAAAGACAGTGTTTATGTGAACACTATTGTTTGTCTGAAAGTCTGTAGCAAGTAGTTATTGAATATCCTGAAGAAATATGGTGTTTAAAAACAAATCCTTGTCGAGTAATTTGGATCAGTAAGATAGATCCAGATTTTTTAAGAGACTGTAGTAAGTAATTTTACGTTAAGATCTAAAAATACTGACTCTACATGTATATTATCTGGATTTCTTACATTACAAATCTCAGATTCTGGATGAAATAGAAGAGCACGGCATCAAGATTTATCACCTGCCTGATGCTGAATCAGATGAGGATGAAGATTTTAAAGAGCAGACCAGACTCCTAAAGGTGTGACTGGCTTCACAGGTTACATATGTGAATAATATATTGTATTTCTTCAGACTGCTCAGATGGCTTTAGAACAAGACCTGAGATGAGACCTGGAGTGAGTCACTGTGTCTCTGTGCTCAGGCTTCCCTAGCTGGAAGATGATGGCAACAATTACATTTATTTTTTTTAACACCTCCAAATTAAAAGAATTACCAACTTATTACCATAGTACGCAGTCCTGAGCCGAACAAGAGTTGTTCTTGGAGTTGTTTGTCCTTGTTCATTATTAGTAACTTCTGCACTTTTGGCTTTCAGGCCAGCATCCCATTTTGTGTAGTGGGATCCAATCAACTCATTGAAGCCAAAGGTAAAAAAGTTAGAGGTCGGCTCTACCCATGGGGTGTAGTTGAAGTGGAGAATCCGGAGCATAATGACTTCCTGAAGCTAAGGACCATGTTAATGTAAGTTAGAAAACTCCAATTAAATGGTGGCTTAAAAAACAATCACTGAGGTGCTCAAGCACTGTATTGGGAGTTTGAATCCTTGTGGAATCCTTGGAGACATTCAGAATTTGGCTGGGGGAGGCCATGAGCAGCCCTGACCTGGCTGAGCTAGGCCTAGTCAGGGATTGAGCCACGTAGGCCCAATAGGTTCTCTCCAATCTGAATTGCTCAGTGATTCTGTGAAAATAGTCTTTTGTCTAATTCTTTTGTGGAATGCAGTGTTGTAGCACCATTCAAACCCCCAGGAACATAAAACACCTTGTTTGAGGCCTTGTGCTTATTTCAGTGTATCTATAGATAGATACATCTGCAAAGGGGGAGATTTCAAAAGTCCACTGGTTGTTTTTTCACAGGCTTTGCTACTCTGTTTCTCCTGCCCAGCTTCAAAGGACTCCCCATGAGGACAGCTTCAGTCAGGGCAGCCTCGGGGCTGAGGTGGCCCCTTTACTGCACCGATTTAACTGAAATTACCTTGTAAATTAGTATTTTAAGAGGGTGTGCATGCTAAGCACATTAAGCTGAGGCAGTGCTGAATGTGAGAGTTGGTTAAGCAAGCTGATGTGACACAGGGATGTTTCATCTTTTAATTACTTTTCTTCCTCCAGCACCCATATGCAAGACCTTCAGGAGGTGACCCAGGACCTTCACTATGAGAACTTCCGCTCTGAAAGGCTCAAACGAGGCGGCAGGTTGTTGGCTCATGTCTCTCTACATGCTGTTCCTTCCTCTTCTGAATTTATTTTTTGGTCTCCCTGTGTCTCACCTATCGTTTCATTGCTAAGATTTGTTAGATCCAGGGCAGCTCTGTAGCTCCAGGAAGCACCAAATTCAATCGTCCAGCTTACAATGAGTGTAAGGAAAAGTGTTTAGTAAATCCAAAGAGACAGTTGTGGCATTGAAAAGGAACAGTTAGATCTGTGCTTTGGTCTGAGACATGAACACAGCTGGATTGGAATGCTGGAGGTACATAAGTAGGATGGATGTCTATGATAAACATTGTCTAAAAAAACCCTGCAAGTTAGGTCAGGGCTGATATATTTAAAAGAGTGGATTTTTTTTTTTTTTCAGAATTAACAACTGGAATATTTGGACTGTGTCTTTAAAAAAAAGATATTTGAGTTCTTTTGTAGTGCTTTCTTAAACGTGACGTGTATAAATCATTTTCTTTACATAGAAAATGTAAAGCCCCTTTCAGTCACAGGGCTGTCAGCCCTATTTTGAGCTGGGATGAGTAGGGCACGGCTTTCCTGGTAAGAGAGAAGGGCAGAACACCCCATTTTTAACTGCAGTAGCAGGATTTGTAAAGTTGAGTTGGTGAGTTTTGTGGAAAACCGGGTGTTTCCTGGTTTAGATGTTTCAGCTGCATCTCTTACTGCAGCCACTAGAGGGTTCCGAATCGCACATTTCGGGGGCTTTGGTGCATTTTGCAAAACTTTTGCCATCCTGCTGTTGACAGAGGTTTTGTCACATGCCTGGGCAGTTTTCAGCCAAAGGAGTTTGTCTCTGCCTGTAGCATTGGCCTACAAGTCCAATTTTGCCCTTCAGGCAAGATGAAATGCTCTTCTCTCCTGGCTTTTAGATCCTGACTTCTGAAGTTCAAGGTAAAAACCCCCAGATTTCCCAGTTCTGGTGCTTGTTATCCAACAGATGTGTAGGAAGGCCTTAGAAGTATTGATACCTAAGGTCATCCAGAGTTAAAACAATTTTTAAAATTTTTAGAGGATTTAAAATTGCCTCTGCCAGTGACCTGTGGCAAGAGGTTGCTGTTAAGTTGGGGTATGTGAAACTAAAACATGTTTTGGTGTCTTGTCTAGTGAAGTGGCCCATATACCTTTGTTTTCACATTTCTGAAATGGGTGTTAGAATTCAGTCAGGTTTACTATAAGTGAGGGTAGTTTGTGTGTGAGTTTATTTCAAGCTTGAAACTCCTGTCCTATAGGAGGGCTTGGCAGTAGGTGCTTGTTGCCTGTATTCATTAATGTTCCCAGAGGTTTTTGGGCACAGAGGATTTTTTGACAATCTGTTTAACCTCAAATGCAGAGTTTGTTCACTCTGCATTTTTGATGGCACTTGCTTGATTAGATCCATTAGATCTTCCCTGTTGTGACCTGGAGTAGGAGGAAGCTGTTAGCAAAGCAGTAGGTGATCTTGGATAGAGCTAGGTGGGAGTCAGTCGTTTCTCCCAGGTAACAAATGACAGAACAACAGGAAACGGCCTCAAATTGCACCAGGGAAGGTTTAAATTGGATATTAGGAAAAATTTCTTCACTGAAAGGATGATCAGGCATTGGCACAGGCTGCTCAGGGCAGTGGTGGAGTCAGCATCCCTGGAAGAGTTCAAAAGGTTTGTGGATGTGGCATTTGGGGACGTGGTTTAGTGGTGAACACGGTGCTGCATTAATGGTTGGACTTCATGATCTTAGAGGGGTTTCCCAACCTTAATGGTTTTATGTTTCTGACAATACTCATCTTATTTTAGGAAAATAGAAGATGAAGAAGTAAATAAAGACCAGATTCTGCTTGAGAAGGAAGCGGAAGTAAGATGACAGAATTTTGTATTCTTGTAATGGGGGAATTTTTGTTCTTGTATCACTGCTTTAGGTCAAATTATTTATATGGTCTTGGTAATTTGTAAAGGAAAAGGCAGTTATGTATATTTGCCAATATGAAGTTATGTAAGGGTCACTATGAAAACAGAATGCAAAGAGGTGTAGAGCAGTCTCAGGATAGGGATTTGTTGGAATAAGTGGAATCTGGTAAAACTCCATTCCATTATAGTGCTCAGCAAGGGATGTAACACACACTGTGTGGGCAAGGAGGAGCAATCTCACAAAACATGTAAAGGTTCTACAGTTAACAACTGCAGGCTGGGAAAAAGTTCAGCTCTGCAGCAAAGGAGGGAATGATGGCAGGAATGGTCAGGAATAAAGAATGAAACAGAAATTCTCATTCTGCCACTATGACAAATTCGTAATGGGTAACTAATGCTCTTTTTGTTGTATCCTTAACTCAAAAAGGGTATATCCAAGACTAGAAAAAGTGCAGTGAATAGCAAAAAGTGGGCAGAAAGGCTGAAGTGGAGACCTGAAGCAGGTCCTGTACAAGGGGAGATGAGGTTAGTGCTCTTGTTGAGAAGTAGATGCCAGAAAGGAAAGGGGCTTACATGATTATAGGTGGCAGGATGAATGGGAATCTACTGTACAAGCAAGAGGTCTTGGTTAATGGGATTAACAGGTGGCTGATTTAAAAAAGTTAAAGTTAAAAGAGATGCTTCTAAGATAGTCTGTAAATTATGGAACTCATTGGCATGGAATTTGTGCATAAGAAGATATTTTTGAGCAGATAAGCCCAAAAATGCTGAGAGACTGGAGACTTTGCTTTCTCCATGAATGTGCTCCCTAAATGCAAAGGTAGAATTTTTTGTTTTAGCAAGTTCCAAAGGGACAGATTCTGGAGTTTGAGAGTGTGTGTGGGTAAGTACTGGGAGTGGGCATCTACTGTTCAGGCTCTTCCATGTGCTTCCTAAGAGCCAGTATTGGAGAGAGGGCTGAGTTAGATGAGCTCCTTGACTTGCCCCAGCACAAGCAGATGCTCAGCTTTCTATTAGTGATCTTAGTGGTGACACAGGTCTCAAAAGATAAGCAGAGAGTAAAAATGAAAAGGGTTGTTGTTTCAAAGAACATGAAAAAAAGAATAGTATAATGTTCTACAGGTTTAACTTCATTGTTAAAATTAACTGTTTAGTTGGAGTTTACAGTGTAAGTGCAAAAAGGCAAAGGCACCCAAAATTGTTCCAGTGATGCTCACTTGCCACCTCTCAGAGCCGGGTACAATAAAAGGATTTAAGTATTGAATGTGCAACAGGGTTGAATTAATCTTAGTAGCTGAGTTACATAATTACTTTATGATTAAATGTTGCAATGCTCTAAAACTGACCTTCAACCAAGTTTAATCATGCTTATGTTTCCTTGGATGGTTTGCCTGTAGTACTTGCTTCCACCTAGTCATCACTAGCAAGGGAACTGGGGAGTAATCCTAACAATTTTCTTTTTTTTGGTGGCAAATACTGGTATAGTTTGGAGGGACACAAACAAGCTGCTTTTCTTCTGGTGCACTAAACTTTAGTAACTGTAAGTGTTTGTTCAGCACTTCAGCACCATCATTTTTATGCATTTAACTTCAGAGACTTCCATTCAGGAATGCTTAAAAAATCCTATCCCACAGTGCAATAACAAAGCCTGTTCACTTCAGTCAGTAAATGCCAACCTCCTCAGGGATGAAGAGCAGTAGAAGATACCATAACCCAAGGTCAGATAAAGAAAATGAGATCCCTCTCTCATATAAATAAATAATAGGTTGGTGACAGTGGAGAATTCTGTTCTGAGGGGAGATCAGTCTGCAGAATTCTGTGCTACTCTTGCAGCTGCGTCGCATGCAGGAGATGATTGCGAGAATGCAGGCGCAGATGCAGATGCAGATGCAGAGTGGAGAAGGTGACAGCAGTGCAGTTCACGGGCACCACGTGTAAAGACTTGGGTAAGGTGTTCAAACAGCCACTTGAAGGGCTTCTCCTTTAACTGTTCACTGGTGTGATTGGCATTAAGACGTTCTGGGAAAATGTTTGTGAGGTGAGTTTCCAGAGGTTTCAATTTCAGTTTTAATTTTTAAGGATATTAACTGCTGATTCACTGACAGTGAAATGGCTTGGAGTCGTTGTGGTGGTGTTGTGTGTATGTGTATATGCAAATTTTCCAGAAAGTCAATACAATATGTGCTGGTACGAACCATGGAAGAAGTCTTTGAAACAGTTTAAACAGGTGATTCTAAGCTCATGATGCAGTCGTTGTTTCCTTGTGACTTATAAAATATGTGCAGTTCTTTTGGGTCTCTAACTGTGAGAAGACAGCTGATCTGAAATTGTATTTTCCTGCCTTGTTTTTAGATGACTTTATCTCCTGACTCAAAGGAGACCTTCTGGAGTTGGATTGCAGTGGTGTTGGAGCAGAAAGGATGCCTCTTGCTCCCATGTGACTTGGAGTTTCCTGTAGAATTTAATGTGGGAATGTTCTGTGGTAACTCTTGTGAGATGTATTTTGTAACATGTAGTCACACAATATTTTATATATTATACACATT